AAGGGCTCTGCTCGCCGGGCCCCTGGGGTGGAGGCGTATCCATGGTCATGGATAGCAATGGTGGCAGGAAATGTCTCTCGAAGGCTAGTGGTCCTGCGGGTTCTGCCCCTCAGCCTCGGCCTGCGGGTTCTGCCCCTCTGCCGTGGCCCCGTGTGGTGTGTGTGGCCCTGTGCCCTCAGGGCACCATTCAGGAACCCCCTTGCCACGAGCCAGGGCTCCTTAGCTTTCCCAACTGATGGACGGCAGGGAAACACTGAGGCTGGCAAAGGGGCAGGTCCTTGCTTCAAGACCACAGCAACTACAGCACGGCCCAGCTGCTGCTGCACCAGGGCAGCCTGCCGGCCCCACACGCCTCACTGGGGCGAGGTCCTGGGTGGCCCACGCAGCCCTGCAGATCCGAGAACTAAGATGAATGGGGAAGCAAGGGTCTGAGACCCAACCCCCAGGTGCCCACTCGTCTGGGCCAGTGGGTGTTGTGGGTGTGAGTTCCTGCTCTGACCTGACTGACTGACATGGAGGGGTCTGGGTGTGGCCAGGAGGGAAGATGGTACAGATTTCTGGTCTTCTTTTGGAGGGTGATCTTCACTTACACAGCTCAGCTCCTGGGCAGTAGAAACTAGTCCCCCGCCTCCCAGCTGCGATGTCCCTGAGGGGCGTGGGGGTGGGCCCTGGCCTCCCAGCTGCGATGTCTCCGAGGGGCATGGGGGTGGGCCCTGGCTTTCCTGGACTCGGCAAGTGCAAACTGTGCGGGTACATGGGGACTCCACCAGGTGGACAGAGTCCCTGCCCTCTGGGGCTTTGGATCTTGGCCAGGGAGACCCGGAACAGACCCGGAGCTGTACCAGCAGGTTACCAGCATGCAAACAAAGGTTTCCAAGGGGAGGGCAACCCTGCAGCTCCCTGCACTCCAGGGGGTGGGAGGGCGGTGCCTCACCTGGTGCCTTAGGGCCCCTCTGGGGCAGAGCTGCACAAAGGAGCTGAGTTCCCACGCCTCCAAACCACTCCAGGGCTCCTGTCGTGTATGCGTGTGCTCTCCTGGCTGCTTTAGGGCCAGTCTGATGCTCCGGGTCAACTCGGGGCCTGCAGGTGGGCAGGGGGAGGCATGGAGGCCAGAGCTGAGGGAGGGGACCCTGCTGTGGGCCTGCTTGCCCTCCACTGACAGATACTGCCCAGAGGTGCCTCCTCCCACCTCTTCCCCACAGGTTGAGGGGTGGGGGCGACACCCGATCCCTGTGAGCTGACCTCATACTGACCTTGGAGGGTCTGGGGGTTCTGGCTGTGGGCCGGGTCTGGCCTCACAGGCCTCAGAGGGGAGGGGCGTGGTCTGGGGGCAGTCTCGGGAGTGGGATGGCTGAGGAAGATGGCGAAGGGGGATCCAAACCAATCTTCCCTGCACCCGTGGGGGGCCCATACTGCCTAATCTGAGTGCCAGGGGGCAGAGCGGGCCTTCTAGAGGGAAGGGACCCCTGGGAGTGGGTGGGAGGCCTAATGGCTAGGCCAGGGCTGGGAGGAGGTGCCTGTGCCAGGAGCTGGGAGGGAAGGAGTTAAGGCGGCGGAGGGGGCAGCCTATGGCAGGAGGACACACCTGTGCGCAGGGCAGCGGGCGGGGCCCAGGTGAGGGGCCTGCCCAGCGCTGCCAGGAGGAGGAAGGAGGAAGAGTGGAGGCCAGGGTGCGCTGTGGGCCACTGGGTCTGGGGCCTCCACGCCCCCTCCCCTGCGCACCTGTTCTCCGAGGGACAGGCGGGTCCGTTCGGCGGCAGGTAAAGCCACCAGGAAAGGGGAAAGGGAGGATTCCTGGGGCTGGGCTTGGGCTGTGAGCACCGGAGGGGAATTAGAGTGGGTGTGGAGGTGAGGTGGGCAGGGGTGGGCTGTCGGGTGTCGGGGACAGATGGGCAGGAGGTGCGGTTGACGTCTTTCCTGGGCCTCAGCGTGTCTGCTCTGCGGAGTAGGGCCACTGGCCAGGAGCAGGACTCACCTGGGACAAGGGGGGTAGGGGGAGGGGAGCCGGGGTTCTGTCGCCTCTCACCTGGGGAGCCCAGGGCTGGGGGCTGCCTGGCTGGAGGTGGGCAGGCTGGGTGGGGGCCCTCGTCTTACCCAGCAGTGTTTGGGTGCTGGTTGGGAGTCTCTAATACTGCCGGGTAATGATGGAGGCCCCTGTTCTGTGTCAGCGGCAGCCATGGTCTCGGGCCCCCAGCCCTGGCGGGCCCACTCCGCTCCCACTGTGGGGGACCCTTCCTCTCCCTCACAGGGGTCTCTCAACTGGAACTGCCCACTTACGAGACAGTGGGCTGGCCCTCCCCGAGGCCCGTGTGGCTTGTCACCTGGTGGATCCACTGGGACCTGCGGCAGGCGGTCTCGTGCGCTGCTGGGACGCGCTGGGGCCTGAGGAGCTCCACCTGGCGCCCCACTGGCCGGCTCTGGGCCCATCTTCCAGCACAGTGTTGGGTGGTCTAACCGGGAAGCTCCTAACACTGTCTGGTAAAGATGGCTCCCGGGCTGGCACCCTCCACAGTGACCTTCAGGGTGACCTAACAGCCCTGAAGCCCTTCTGACCGACCTCTGACCGGCACCCTTCCGGGTTTGAGAGGGGTTGGTTGGGGTGTGGATCACCAGAAAGGCAAGAATGAGGAGACAAAATGGCTGCCTCCACGCCGGGGCAGGATCTGTTCCGGGCCCTGCATCCTTTCCCCTCCTCGCCTCCGGAGCTGTCAGGCAGAGGGTTGAGCCACGGTGCTTGACCTGGCTTCTGTGTGGCTGTCAGCTTACGACTTATCTTCCCGCGCGCGCAGGGCAACTTCACTGCGATCTTCAAACTGAGGCTCTACGCCCACTTCAGACCCTCCCTGCACCGGGCCTGCTTCCGACTCCCAGGCCTCCTCTGCGGCCCTGCAGACCCCCTCCCCCAGGACTCGGGTGGGAAGGGGCCCTGGGAGGCACAGGTACAGGCAGGGACTTGTTTCTTTGGGGTTTGAAATTCAACGAGGGCTGTTTGGGGAATTATGAGGACGCTTGTCTAGGGATTGAAAACGGCCACCTGTTGGGGGTGGGGTGGGGTGGATCTATGGGCGTGAGGGGCACTGTTACCCAAAAAGCGCTACAGAGCTGGTGGCTGAGGATGTGGGAGTAGGGGCAGCTCAGTGGACAAGACCACCCAACAAGTGAAGCCATTTGTTACCAAGGAAGACGCAGCCCCTGGGTCATCGGTTTTCGGTTTGGGTCAGTGAAGCAGCAGCTGCTCCAGCCTCAAGAAAGGAGGTGTTGGAGAGAGGGTAGCTCGGTAGGAACAGAGGGTGGGTGATTGTAGCACGATCCCGGGGGTGGGGCGAGGGGGTGGGGGCTGCTCATCTGGGCCCAGCAGCTGGTCGGGTCCTCTGTGCCCTCTGCTGGCAGATACCAGGAAGGACTTGCGCTGCCATGTGCGCAGGCCGCCTCCCCAGCCCGGCTCAGAAACGGGAGGCCTCTGCTTCGGTTTGCATAATAAAAATTTATTGAGAATTCCTGGGGCGACAGTTCTCTCCTCCCAGCCTCGAGGGAAGGAACTCACCCGGTACGGAATAAATCACTGAGAACTCAATCACACTTGGTTCCAACACCCTGGGACGAGACGAGAGGACAGTTTCCCTGAACAAAGGGCCAGTCCTTCAACAATCCGGGAGGGGTGGGGAGGAGGGGCAGAGGGACCATCATGATGCTGGGCAGGCGAGGGGCGTCCAGGGACCCCCGAGCTGACTCCTCCAAGACCAGGGAGAGGTGGCTCCATGTCGTCTCGGGGAAGCTCTCACTCAGCAGGCTCATTTCTTACCCTTGATGAGGCTGTCGCTGTGAACCAGGGGGCAGACAGACCGACAAGGTTAGGAGACAGCCAAGGTGACAGAGAGAGCACCCCTTCCCTCCCTTCCGGGCTGTGGCAGGGAGCATGGGGGGGTGTATGAGGACACCACACAAACCAGGGCGTAACACCGTACCTTCCTCTGTGGCACCAGGTCAGCACACGGAGAGGAAACAGAAAAGAAACACATGTGATTGGACAGCTCCGGCCCCACACCTGTTCGTTCGTCCACCCCCCTCCCCAGCCCTCAGCTCTCAAAAGGCACTCAGGGTTCAGCCTCCATGAGAGACAGACGTGTTCTCTCAGCCTGGGGCTCCCAAGTAAGGACAACGGCACTATGGCCGTTTGCTTCCGGGGGACAGAACTTCCCTGTTGTTCTCATGAACACAAGGCAGGCGTTGGCCATGACCCCTAACAGCCTTTCCAGGGTCTCACAGGAGTGGCTCCGGAAACCCCAAGCCCAGACAAGCCCCGTCTCCTGAAGGCCACTGGGTGGGGTGGGGGTCTCTCACCGCGTGAAGCTCTCGTCCTGCAGGTTGAGCACGAGGTTGTCAGCAGTGAGATAGATACGATTCTGTGACGTGGCGATCTGGAGGGAGGAGAGGCAGAAAGCAGCCTGCATTTAGCAATGGACACTGCGGTGCTCCCTCCATAGCAGAGCACCCGCGCACGCACACACTGGGCCAGGACTGGGGCCACCGACATGAGCAAGGCAGTTTCTGCCCTCAGAAACCACAAAGATGTGACACGCCAGCCCCGGGAGCCATGCTGGGTCTCCCCTTACCGTCTTGGAGATGTTCTGGGCCGCCCGGATCTTGCGCAGTTTGATGTAGCCAGGGTTCTTGCTCAGCGCTTCCCCAAGGTGAGCAAGGGCAGTTAAGGGTCCACACAAGGCCAAGCCCCAGCCCGATCCTCAGCGCTCCTCCCTCCCCAGCCTTTGCTCCAGTCCTCTGGGCCGTCAGATCCAAGGTTGTGCTCAGAGCGCATGTGCCTCCCTCGTCTTTGACCCCGCCTGTGGGCCCCCCTGCACGCAGCTGCCAGAACTGGGGCCAGCAGCGGAAATGCATTCAGGGCCAGCGGTGCTATTGATCTGGCCTTACAGTGGGGAGCCAGGCCTCAGGCACCCCACTGAGATTCCAGATCCCACCCCCAGGGAGCACAGGTCACATTCGCCTTGTCTCATCAGCCGGCCATCGCTGCGGGGCAGCGTGGTGCTGGGCGCTGGGCCTCGGCCTCTGCAAAAGGATATCATCTTGGCGGCCTCAGCTTCCCCCTCTGCCTGCACGATCTTCTGCCGCTGCTCCTGCTTCGCCTTTTCCACCAAGAACTGGGCTCGCTGGGCCTCTTGCTGGGCTGCAGAAGCGGAGCCGGGGTCACAGATGTGCGGGTCAGGACCCCCCCTCCGAGGAACCGGGGTCCCACTCCTCTAGAGACTCACCCACTTGTTTGGCTTCGACAGCAGCTGTGTATTCTCGGCTGAAGCTCAGCTCTGTGATGGCGACATCGTCCAGGATGAGGCTGAAGTCCTTGGCCCTCTCGGTCAGCTCCCGTCGGATCAGCAGGGACACCTGGCGCAGCATTGAGGAGGGGCAGGGTGGGATGACTTTAGGACAGAGAGGAAGGTGTGCTGGTATGACAACCTGAAAACCAGCTCTCAGGTGCCAAACGGCACTGCCCCTTCCTATTTCCTCCCTGAAACAAAACCACGCCCACTGCCCATGGGTTGGATTCCAACCCCTGGCAGGTCTGTGGGTTTCTGAGACAGTAAATCTTCACAGATACAGGCAGTCTCACCTTCATCTCTCGGAACGGCTTGTGGCCCTGAACCACCGACCTTACAATTGGTGGACCGATGCTTAACCGTGGTACCATCAAAACAAAACCCCAGACTCTCATGGACTCGACCAGGGCTCACAGCGACCCTTTAAAGCAGGCAAAGAGCTCTGGAGCTCCGAGTCTTTACGGGAGCAGCAGCGCGCCCATCTTCTTCCCTCGGAGCAGAGGGGGGTTGACAGCCCGCCTGTTAGCAGCCCAGCATGTAGCCGCTATACCACCGGGCTCTTTCCGTTCCCTCATTAGAACATCTGAACGGAAGGGATTACTCTGATCTCCCGGCAAGAGGAGCCAGGCTCAGAGGTGGGGCGACTGCCCAGGTCACGCCAACTCAACCCCTTTTCCACATGCACCCCTTTCCCTGCTGAGACGAACCTGACAGAGCCCCTTCCCTTCGCTAGCATTTCCCCTCTGCTCCTCACCAGACTGACTGAGGCCATCGGCACAGGGGGAAACAGAACCAGACTCGCAGACCATCTTTCGGATTAAGGTGCCTGTCCTCACACGCCCTCGTGCCTGGGCCCCTCAGGGGAAATGCTGATGGTGGGGGTCAGACCTGAGCCCGCTGGGTGATCAGCTGGGAGGCATTGAACTTGGCCACCACGCTCTTGAGCACCTCGTTGACAATGGACGGCAGCACTCGCTCCTCGTAGTCGAGCCCCAGGCGCTGGTACATGCTGGGAAGTTCCAGTGCGTTGGGCCGAGACAGCACCCGCAGGGAGATGTTCACCATCTGCAGATCTGACAATGAAGCCAGGGTGGCTGGGTGAGGCCATGGCCCCCTCATCTATAGCCCCTAGGCATTTTCTCCCCAGGTCCCCTCCGGGTATGCATATTTGAGCTCCCTGGGGGTGCCGGGAGGCGGAGAAAAAGCGAGCCCACAGGTCTGACGGGACACAGGCCACACCAAAAGCACCCCCAGCCTCTTGTGAAGTCATCTCTAGCCACAGGCCACCGATGGGAGAGGCGGCCCTTCTCTTGTGCAGGACCCGACCCAGCTTCCACATCTCCTTTACTGGATGGACACACGTTGTCCTCCCTTGAGGACGAGGGTCGCTTTAGGGACCTTATTCTTGGGGCCTGGGCTTAGTTGGGTGGATAAGTGATAAGCCCTGAGAATATAGGGCAAAGACATACATCACACCACGGGCACCCTGGTGCCTCTGGTCTCAGCGTGTAAGCGTGGCCGTGTGCGCATGGCAGGCAGAGGTAGAAAGGGGGTCTCACACCCGCATGGCTTCTTGGAGAGAGGAACAGAACGGGGATGAGACATAGACTTCTCCCAAGACAGGGCAAGCTGGTGGCTAGAAAACTTTGGAGTAAGGTTTCGATGCTGGCTGTAGTAAGACAAACAACATCCTTGCCCTCCACAAAGCGCGCACAGTGTGGCAGCCTGGGTCTGGCCCAGCCTGGGTATTCCTGCAAAGGCGCAAACCAAGGCCCAAGAGAGTAGTAACATCTTCCCGGCCCGCGCGTCTCCAGACAGGCTACTTTGTGGGGTTCACTCCTGCTTCTCAGGTGCTCACACCTACCTTTGGAGCCTGTGGGAGAGGAGATTTTTCGGGGTCTGGCCCGGATGTCGTAGATGATGGGGTACTGGAACCAGGGGATCCTGGAGCGGAGAGAAGAGGCACAGGGGGTAGGCGACTTCATTAGCTTTGGCGGCACCTTCCCGGAGAGACCGCGGGAAAGGAAGGAGTGTCTTCTTCTCCCTTTAGACCCCGACTTGGGTGCTAGGGCGATGCGCGCGTCGGGCATGGCCGGCCGCGCTGGGAAGGGCAGTACGGAATCCCCACAGCCCGGGTGGGTCGGAGCCGAAGGTCAGTGCGTCTGCGCCCGCCATTACCTGAAGTGAAGGCCCTCGGCCAGGATGGTGTCCTGCTGCACGCCACCGATGCGGTTGAAGAAGATGGCTCTTTGCCCGCCTTCCACTGTGGAGAGCGTGGGAAATCAGGCGGGCGGGGGTTCGCGGACGTGCTGGGTGCTCGTGGGGCGGGGGGAGGCGTTGGGGGAGGCAAGGACCGCCGGGACGGGGCACGGAGTCTGGGGGGCGGCGCACGCGGGTCTCACAAGGGCACGGGACACGCGGAGGGACCTGCTCACCGGTGAACACGGACTCGCGGACGCCGTACGCCACGGCGCCGGCGCCCAGCAGCAACTTCAGCGCCGTGCCCATGCCGCGCGGGCCGGCGGGCAGCCGTCCCGCTAAGTCCTTCAGGTTCTGGGCCATGTCCGCGCCTGACGCCGGCGGGACCTGGGTCAGAAGGGGTCCGGCCCGCCGCTACCCAGCCCCCGTCCACGCACAGGACCGTCCGCACGAGGGTCCGGGGCCCGCAGGGCAAGCAGGCGAAAGGGCACCGGAAGTGCGCGCCCTGCTAAGCGCTCCCCCTCCGCCCCGCCCCGGACCCAAAGTGCGCGCACAGGAACCGCGCGTCCGGAAGTGCCCGCCCCTTCCGGAACGCTGCCCTCCCCTGGCCAACCAGCGCACGCCCCAGCTCCCGCGTCCTCACGGCGGCCGGAAGCGAGCGTCGGCGGGCAGGTCCGCCGCAGCACGCGGCTGGGAGCGGCCAAGGTGGTGCTAGGGCGGCAGCGTCAGTTCCGGCCAGGCTGCAAGATGGCTGCGCCCAGGGGCCGCCTCCAGCCTGGCGAGCGGCGCGGCGAGCGGGAGCCGAGCTGGGAGGCTGGGGCGCCCAAGCGGCCCCGCCTCGGGGCGGGAAGCAGGAGCGGAGGCTGTCGGCTCATCGTGGTGCTGGAAGGGGCCAGTCTGGAGACGGTCAAGGTGGTTTGGGGCAGTGGATTGGGAGGTGGGAACTGGTGGTAGGTTTGGCGGGAAGGGGCGGAGCGGCCCAGTGGGTGGAGAGAGCAAAGAGGTGAGACGTTCTTTTGGTTAATATTGGGTTGACTCGCGGGGCATTTTCTTCTGCTGTTACTGAGTCGCCTTCCAGCCTGCACTTTATTCCGATAGTTTCGCCAGGATTTGGGGATAGTCATCTACAGGGGCAGGCCTCTGTTCTGACAGCCCCACATTATGGCCCTGTGGCGGCTTGTGTGCTCCTGGGATGCTGTGCCACCCGCGGTGGACAGGGCTCATGGAGCCGACTAAGACAGCCTGGCGGTTACTGCTGAAGACGAACCGGTTAGAAGGCATTGTCGGGCTGCACTCCAACGTGCCAAGGGCCGTGAAGATGAGCAATAGCTGGTTACCTTATGCACAGTGTATTTGTAAGAAGGTTTAATTAGCTAAAGGGTGTCTCTGCTCTCATTCCACACTGTGCTACCTGCAAACACTGCCTGAAACAGATTATTTTTTCCTACCTCTGCATCTTTATCTAACACTCAGCTCTTTTCAGAATAATATGTCCTTCCACCCCATCTTAAACCTTTGACAATTTTATAATCTTCTCGTTCTCTGACCTCTTTAGAACAAAACCTATCATTCCTGTTGTAGACAATGAAGAAATAGCTTTGTTTTAGGATTCAGACCTGGTTTTCAATCTTGGTTCTGAGATGCATTTTAGGTGTGTGATCTTAGTACATTTGTCCACAGGTTGTACAATGGGGGCTGACCAGAAGAGCGATTGTGATGCGTGTGTGCTGCAAGTACAGTGGTGCACTTCTCTCCCTCCACTGTCCCTGCTACGTTGTTAGCCTTCCACTATAAAATACTTGCTTTAAAAAATTTTTTGTTTTAGCATGGCCAGCTAAGCAAGTTTCCTTTCATTTTCATCTTTAATTTTGGCATTGCTAATCTACCTATCAGCTGTCTTTATCGCTCATGTGCTTGTTATTACCGCTGAATATTAATTTTGACATCACATCAGCTGTCCCTTGGACTGTAATGTAGAGTGAGAAAAGCCTGTCTTCTGTAGGAGCCGGGCACAGTGGTTGAGAATGTAGACAGGCGCTAGACTGACTACCGAGTTCAGATCCCGCCTCTGGTAGCTCCTGGTTCTGACCTTCAGCATACACTCCACCACTCGTTTCTTTCAGACAGAAAACCAAGGGGCACTCCACATTGCAAACCAAACCATCTGCTGGCGAGCTAACAGTCTGTGTGACTCGATGTCTGTGCTCCACAGGGGTTTCAGGGGCGAGTTCGGGGAAGTAGATCGCGACCACTTCTGAGGTGCCTCTTTGTGGACTTCAGCCTGTGATAAACGTCAATCTACATTCATTCCTTGTACCCAGTCTCTTTAAGTTCTTTGAAAGCACTGCCTTCTCTTACCTGTTAAGGCCACTGCACATGTTCCCCGTTGCCATGTATTTGTTCATTCACTGAACCCCTTCAGAGAAATGACTCTCCTCCCTGGTTTAAGTCAGATGACCTGTTAATAACTCACTTGTCCCTCAAGTTTACCAGTTTAAGCACTGTGATGGTTTAGTTTGCCTTTTCTGTGAGAAGGATCTCTGAGAACAAAGCTCTAAAGACTCTTTCCTGTCTCTGGCTTCTGGCAGTCGTGAAGGTGCCTGGGGGCCCTGGGGGCCACATGGCCGCGGGCATTGTGTGTGTGGAGAGGAGGTTGGACTCTTCACATGTGGAAAGTGTGAGTCACATCTGATTGCCGTTCTCCAGTGTCTCAATTTTCACTTTTTGGGTGTCATTTCTTTTCTCGCTTCTGCTTTTTCTTGACCCCAACTTATCTTGTTGCTGAAATTAGTCTTAAATCTGGGAATAAGCCAGTTTTACTTGTGAGAGATGAATTCCCCATTGGACCTCCTCCTGTGGCAGAATTTGCACGCTTCTTCCTGTTGGGACTTAAAGCTCCTCACTTAGTGCATGTCTTTTGTAAGCTGACCGAGGTAGGGGCTGTCTATTTTGCGTAGTGCACATGAGTTGCTTCTTATGAGCAATAAACACTTACCTATGCTCGCAAACCCAAGACTGGCCGTGCCAGCATCCCTCGCTGGCTTTGCCCACAGCCACAGGCGTTTCAGTGGAATCCAGTGGAGACCATGAGCAGCCATGGTGGCTCCCTCTTCCTCCAAGGTTGGTTATTTGGAATACCACGTACCCCCTTCAAGGGCAAGCTGGGCCCGCCCACGGCATCTGATTGACTGACTAGGTCTGGAGTTGGCCTGAGAATGTGCCCTTCTAACAAGTTCCCAGATGCTGCTGCTCGTCTGGGACTCTCTGCTTTGAGAAGCAGAGTGAGGTTGATAGAAGCTAATGTTCCCTCTTCATCTTGCCTGCTTTCCAGGCAGGCAGGACGTATGAACTGCTCAATTGTGACAAGCACAAGTCTATGCTGTTGAAGAACGGTCGGGACCCTGGAGAAGTGAGGCCGGACATAACCCACCAGGTAACTCCCAGGAGAGCCCACCCCCCTCCCTTAGAGCCTTTGCATGGAGGCTGAGCCAGGGACCTGCTCTTGTCTCCTGCTTCCCTCAGAGTTTACTGATGCTGATGGACAGCCCCCTGAACCGAGCTGGCTTGCTGCAGGTTTACATCCACACCCAGAAGAATGTGCTGATTGAAGTGAACCCCCAGACCCGAATCCCCAGAACCTTCGACCGTTTCTGTGGCCTCATGGGTGAGGAGCCTTAGGACTGAAAGGTTCTGTAGGGAAGCAGGGGAGAGGAAAGAGACGTTGAAACGTGGATGCTTTAAACTGGGGTCCACAGCGTGATTGACAGCAGTACCGGGACCCGGCGTCACCTTCCGTGTGCAGGGAAACACAGCTCTCAGGAGCTTGGTGGTGCCGGGGCGCCACCTGGACTGCCAGCCACAAGTCAGCAGCTCAGTCCCACTGCCCAGGCAGGTTGGCCCGGTCGGTCGGGATTCATGATCTCAGAAACCCTGTCTCCTCTGTCCTAGCGGGCTTCTGAGCTGCGCAGGTGGGGGGTTGAGGGAGAGGGTGGCCAGCCCCATCAGCTGTCTGTCCTCCCAGGCCTGTGCTGGACAACTGCCTGCTCGTCCAGTTGTGCAGTCTGGGAGTGGAGCACACCTGGAATCCATGGACCTATTGGGATCCTGGGCAGAGGAAGGGGGTGGAGGGGCGCTTCACTTAGT